CCTGGGGTGCAGGGCTTCGCCAGCTGGGCTTGGTGACGGTGCTGCCACAGGCTCAAGCTGGGGGGCAGCAGCTCAGGGAAGGGCTTGGGGGACAAGACCAAGGTCAGAGAACTGTGGGCCCCAGGTGGCCTCTTGGTGACTTGGGCCTGATGGTGCTGGAGAGAGAAGACCGGGAGAAATGAGAAGATGTGGGCATCACGGTGAGGAGCCATCTTGGGGCCCAGAGCCATGGTTCCCAAAGCATCCGGACCCACAGCCACATGGGCTGGGACCCTGTTAGGAACCAAGCCCTTGCTGGCCCTGGGCCTCCGCTCTGAGATGATACCAAGGCCCCAGGTGTCTTGGCCTGCACTGAGACGAGAGGCGCTGGCCCAGGGTGCGCTGGCGGAAGCCAGAGGACAGCAGTCCCTGGACAAGTGGAGGTTCCAACTGGATTAGTCCGGATGAGAATGAGTGGGGGATTTGCCAAAAATTGAGGCCGGAGAAGAACATGGCCCAACTCACAGTTAAATCACCAAGAACTGAGGAGAGTAGCCCAGGAGGACAGAGAGGGACCAATCTATGAGGGGCAGAATGGAGCGAGAAGACACCGGTTCCTCAGGGTCCAGCCAACCAAGGCCACAGAGGGAGGGAACCACTGTGGGGCGGGACAAGGGTCCCCAAAGAAGCCCACCTTAATCGCTGGAACCTGTGGCTATGTCTGCTCCCACAGCAGAAGAGGATATTCAGGTGGGTTTATTGATCATGGGCCAGATGGGCCAGGGCCAGCTGTGTCTGACCTCAGTGTAAATGGAGGCAGGTGCCGTGAGGACAGGGCCAGACCAAGGGCCTTTCAGAGAAACTGGAGAAGGCAGGATGGGGTTCTCCCCCTGGAGCCTCCAGAAAGACCTGAGCCCACCAGCACCTTGATTGATGTTAGCGCCAGGCACAGTGCTTTGAATGTCTAACCTCCAGAATGGTAAGAGCGTGAAATCTGTGTTGCTTTGAGTTTGGAATGATTGTCACATGCCTTGGCTGGGCAAGGCACCTCAGGGGTCCCTGGGTGTTGGTTAGAGCCAAAATGACCTGGGCTTGGGGGGAAAGACAGGGCATGTGTGGCTGTTATTTGTAATAGGCCGTGAGAGGCAGGGGATGACACAGCGTTTCAGGAGGGGAAGGGAGTAGAAAAGGGGGGGGGTTGAGACTCACGGGGATTAGGAATAAGAGGGTGATTGAGGGCAGGTGGGAATGGAGGAACATGCAAAGGAAATGGCCCAGGGGGTAGGCTTGGAAGATGGGCCCCCGATTCTGTCTCCCAGAGGAGGCCCCAAGGCTCTCTGAGCCGCGCTGGCCTCTGTTGGGCCAGGGCTGGTGCGGCAGGTGGGTTTCCGGCTCATTTCCTGCCCTTGTGTCTCAGGGCCACAGAGCCCGGGCCTGCGCTTGAGGTCCTTATGGGGTACTGGGGCCGCCCCAATTTGTCTGCACCACTTAGGATTAAGGATAACGGGGGTCACTGGTGGCACAGCCCCTGGTGTCTCTGGGGAGGGGCCAGATGGCTCCCACTGAGCCCAGCACCTTAGCACCATCTAACGTGGACGCAGCTGGCTCCAGGGGCACCTCGCTGGTGGCCACAGTCCTGTCATTCGCCTGTCAGCCGTGATCCCCAGGGAAGTCGAGTTTCACGTTGCCTCGTAAAAGGCAGCTGGCTGGCGGCTTCTCTTGTCCCCAAGGAATCGCTAGGCTTCGGTGGGAGCACTTTACAGGCCGAGGGCCACAGGTGGCTCAGGCTGCCAGAACAGATGACGGCCTGGCAGCTCTGGATCCTCGGGGAGTCTTTACTACTTTCTGCAGTGAAGGGAGCTGACTTCTCCAGGAGATTAGATGGACTGCACTGTGTGTGATCAGCAATAAATGCACTGAGCCTCTGGGGGCGGAAGGAAAGTCTCTGAGTGCTTTGTTTGGTTTTTAAAAATGCGTTAAACATTAGGAAGCAATTAGTTTTCCATACAATAAGCTAAGTGCATTGTTCTCAGTGTCACTCGTGGGTATGAGAGCTCGGTGTGTCTGCTCATTCGCACCCAGTTCCTGAGGTGCCCAGGGGTGGCACCACATGCTGAGCAAAAGCTGCGCCAGCCTGCTTCCCTCCTGGGACTCTTGGATGGGACAGAGCAAAGGGCACCCGGACAGGGGCAGTTTCTACAGAGCTCCAGGCTGGGTGTGTGCCGGCAGGGTGTGGGGTATACCCACAGCACCCCTGGGGGTCAGGAAAGGCCTAGGAGGACTGGTGTTTGCTTGGAGAGCTTGAAGAGCTCAGTGGTCAGAGTCCTCAGTGGTCTCTAAGCTCAGCCTGGCAGACAGGATCGTGGTCCAGGGCAGAAAGCACGGAGTGACAGGTTTCAGAGAGGGATCCCAAGGACCTGGCACTCTCTGGGAACCAGGGTGGTGAGGAGCCAAGGTGATGCCCAGGGTTTTGGCTACAGAACTGCCAGATGGTGTTGCCGTAGGCTGATGGGATGGAAGGTGGGGCTGGGCATCAGGAAACCGGGAGTACAGTTACGAAAGTGGATGAGTCACAGGACGTGTCCGGAGGCAAAGCCCTGCACCAGGGTTGTCCTCTGGGCGTTTCTTCCTCAAGCACAGCCTGGCAGCCTCGAGCACAGGTGCTGTATCAGCTCACCACCTGTGTCCTCTGACACGCAGCCTGCGGGAACCTCGGGCAGGTGTTTGGGGGGAACTTGTATCAGTCTTGTCAAAGGCTGTGGTCCACCGCTTCCTTTAAAGGACAGGTTAAGGACCAGGACGTAAAGCAGATCGGATCCTCATGTACTTTGTGTCTCCCGTCCAGTGCAGTCTCAGAGCCTGAAGTTCTCAGGGAACCAGGAATTCCTGGCGAGCAGGAGCTGGGCAGGTGAAGCTCGGGGCGTGTCTTTGCCAGTAACTTCTCTTATACCGGGGGCTGCTCTCCAAGCTCCACTCCTGTCACCGAGAGGGCAGGGGAAGGGACAGTTCAGGATGAGAAGCCCTTTTCTCAGAGAAAATCTGGTCCCACCTCATTCATGTTCATATCACGAAATGTCATGAGGTTCGAAGTGAACATGCACCATCACTGCGACGGGGCTTCGCAATATGATTGATACCACTTTCACTGCTTAAAGGTCCTTGTGGCTCCGTGCCTGCTGGTCCTCAGTGACTGTAAAGCAGGCCTGGTTCTGCCAAGAAACCAGTACCCTTCCAGTCTCTGAAGCCGAGAAGCCGGGAAGGAGCCTGCATTTGTCCCAGAAGCCTGAGTCTCCACTTGTTACAAAACCCCTGTGGTTTCTGCTGCTTGGTGCTCATGCAAGGGACTGGTCAGCTTGCAAACGCTTGGCCAAGCCTCTCCAAGGTGTCCCAGCTCTCTTTTTCATTTCAGGGCTTGAAAGTGGGGTAAACTCGAGTTTCTGGCTTTAATAATGTTGTTAGATAAACCCAACCCCCCTGAGCTCTGGCTGTTTCTTCCTCGTGTTGGGAACGTGAGGTCCCACCAGGGGCCTGAGGCTGTACACTGAGCCTTGGGTAAGTGCAGTGTGTTTCAGACCACGTGTAACCATTGCCGGATGCTCACATGCGCACTCAGTGACTGTGAGGTGGCCCTCATTTGCTACCTGGGGAAACTAAGGCACGGGCCAAGTTCTTGTTCACCCCATGAGGCTGACAGAAACGTAGGGTGCAGATGCTTAAACTGATTGTGTAATTCCCTCCTCTGCTGAGGGGGGCTCTGGTTTTCTGTTCAGAAGTGGTGGAAGGAGCTCAGGAGTTAGTTAAGGAAGGACAGCTGCCCACAGCTGCAGCGAACATCTTAAGGGGACAGAGTCACCTGCAGGGTGTGTGGCCCGGTGCAGGTGCTTTTGGTCAGCTCCTGCCCACGAAAGCAGTTTGGGTCCCTCCACGTCAGCATGTTGGGCCCACGCTGGGGGCCCCCTCTGCCTGACCAGCTGTCAGGAGCAATTTGCTTACCAGGGTTCTTGTGGATGCTGGCCTCACCCCTAGAGAGGCATGTAGTGGAGCTCTAAAGGGCATCCATGGAGGAAAAATGGGGACAGCTCATGTCAGGTGCCACGGGGGACTAAGACCACTTCAAGGCAGGTGTTTCTAGCTGCCAGGGCTCGTGAAGGACTCGGCTGGGGCTTGGGAGAGCTGCCCACATGGTCCTGCAGGGTACTTGGAAGGAGACCTAGAAATTTCCAGGAAGGCTCTCCAAGTGCAGGGTTGTGGGAGTAGGTCCCCAAAGCGCAGGGCCTGTGCTTGAGACCCCGTTCTCCTGGGGCTTAAGGGTAGATCTGGGCATGGTGGTGCATACTTGTAACTGCAGCACTCAGGAGGCTGAGGCAGGCAAATTGCCATGAGTTTGAACCAGCCTGGTTCAAAGCTAGCTTGAACTACATAGCAAGACCCTAGCTCAAAACAAAAAACATCTAAAGGATGGGAGGACGTTTGCATAAAATTAAGGCTTAAAAAATAAATTTCTTCTACATGTCTTATGTGCTTTAGCTAACAGAGGAAAAAAGCTGTTTTGAGGAGGAAGCCAGCTGGAAAGTTTTAATATTTGGAATATCTTTGTGAAGATTTGATGGTAAGAGGTGCTGCCCCCTTCTCTTGGAAATTTTGCAAGATGCTCATATAGACTAAGGACGGCTTTTGCTTCCCAAGTGACTGCCCACACACGTGTGCTGGGACCCGGTAACAGCTGGTCCAAGGTGGACACTATAAACCTAGCTTTTGTAGGCGCTGCCTCAGAAGCGGTCCAGAGACAGATCAGGACAGCTGTGGAGGAGGCAGACAAACTGAGCTTCACTGTGTGGCCCTGTCACCTTGGTCAAATGGCTTTCAAGCCTGCGTTATAAATGTAAAATGGGACAGCACTTCCTCTCAGGCTGAGACGAGCACAGGGAAACACATGGTCTATGCACACACAAAATATTAACCCCAAATATAAACATGCTGCTCAGTACTCGCCTGCAGAAGCAAACGCACACCCAAGTAGCTGCTGCTTCCAATTGTTTTATTGCTAAACTATCATAGTACAAGCCGTATAAAAATACTTTACATATAGCAAAAATAAACTACATTAAATTGGAGATAAAAAACATTTTGCATAGGAATGTGATGTATTCAAACTCCCTTAACAGTCAGGATTTTCCAAACCTAAGCCTGCCAGCACCATCGAGCTGGAGCGGCTTGCATCTCCTGGAGAATTGTTTAGGACCTCATTTCCTCCCCTCCAAGAGCTGCAGAGGCGACAGGTGGGAGTGGGCTTTGCTGACAAGATGCTGGCCCTGTGGCCCCACAGCTGTATCTGAACAGGCCAGTCAGAATGCAGGGAGCACCTGCTGTCATGGAAACCGCATCACCTACACCCACCACATCCAAACCTCCGACCCCCCTGCCACTGCCTGGAAAGAGTTAACCCTTTCCTTCTCAGCTCCCAGGACCTCCTCGTGTTTTCAGAGAGGCTCACTCAGGAAGTATCTTTCTTATCAACCATGTTTTTAAACAAACTGAATTAAGATGGTGACATCAGGAATGTGAAGGAAGGTGCTTTGAGATCCTGCTGCTCTCAAGGACTTTGGTGGGAAGCAGGAAAATACCTCCTGTATTTGCAACTGGCCTATTTGACGCCACAAGACTTAATGCCCAAGCCCTAAGCTTGGAGGACCCAAGGTTAAGTGTGTCGGGTCCCCAGGGGGCTGTCCATGCAAAAAATGAGTTTGAGAGTGGTCAGCCCAGCTCGTCAGGAATGCCCCTACCTCTGTGCCTCTTGTAAACTCAAAGTGACGACCAGTTGTAAGTGGACCACTGACATTCTTTCAGGTCTGAACAACAGAAAGCATGTGGAGAGTGTTCTCTGTGACATGAAAATAAACAAGTCCAACCTCCCGTAGTCCAGAGTGACAATCACAACACATCAACTTCCGATCTGCCTAAGTGTGACAGTCTTGCCCCGGTCAAGGCTCGCTTGTTGAGACAAATGTCTTGGTGACTGAATGTAAACCAAAAATAGCAGAACAGTGCTTCCCAGTTCTTGGAAGAAATCGACTGCTTCCATCTCGGCCACATCGATGCTGGAACCCACAGCTGTCCTTTGGTTGATGTGTGTGGCGGTCATCTCCCAGGACTTGGCTGGCCTGAGATCTAGCTGGCACTCACAGTCCTCTGAGTAGGAATTCTGAATTCCATCCATCATAGTGCAGGCAGGCTCAATGGTTTCAAATCAAAATCGCCTACTAGCCCATTTACTTATAACAGTTTTCCTCAGTGATAAAACTCAGACTCAGGGCTGAGGAAAGCATTATCTTCCACAAGCAGAAGAAAAACAAGATTCTTCTTCCACAAAGCCATCCTTTTTCTCGCCCTGAAATGCTTTCTCCTACTGGCTGAGTGCCTGCCGGGCTCAGAGCGGGGTGTTTTTTCCTGGAATGATTAACAAAACTTTTCATGAATACACCATTGCTCTTTAAGGGAAAAAGGAATCAACATATATGTAAAAAGAGACACTTAGAAAGATTTCTGACCATTTATAAATATTTTCTAACTCCAACAGAGGTGCAATATCTTGAGGGCAGATAAAAAGCATAAAAATACGGGTAAGAAAATAAAAATTTACATACTAGTTAATTTGGATGGCATATATATTATCAAGCAGCAGTATTTTTATACAATACTGGAAGACTTGCAAACTTTGGAGGATATTACATTCAGCGACATGGCAGACCTGGTGCTACATCTTACGCTGGATGTAGCAGGTACTAACCTTGACTTAACTGAGACTCCCTTGACACACATGCAACGCCTTCCCACTTAGACACCTTTCCTTTCTGATTCTGAGGCTCTGATTACCTCTTCCCATACTGAAAAGATGTCACAATCCATGACTTTGGCAAACTTCCTCCTGGCATTTGTAACTGACACGACTTTCTTGATTGCTGTCCACGCCCCGTACATTCTCTTGCCTGTTTATATCTCAAAACTAGTGCTTTTTCTTCCCTTTGCTATTTGGTATAGTTCCATGAAAGTGCTTCCTATACGATCTAGCTAAGATGTCTTAGGAAAAGAAAGGGGTCTGTCCGTGCATTACATACACACGTACATACACGTATATGTGGGGGAGGGGAGCTGCCGGGAAGCCCTTTTTTGCGAACGGTTAGAAGACTGGCGGGAAAGCGTTGTCTCTCTTTACCCCAGGGACAGTGAAGCGAGCTACTTTGGTGCAATAGCAGGAGGCACTTGGGTAAACGTTCAGGTAACTGAGGAAAGGCCTGGACCCCTCACGTGCAAAACTGGCTCCGTGCCAGGTCAAGTGAGCCCAGATCGCTCACCAGCCCTCGTGGCTGGCTCTGGCTGAAGGCAGTGCTGCTGGAGACGGGGTCTCCAGGGGCCAAGCTGCTGGCAGAAGGAACGTGCTTTGTTAACGAGGAAGTGATCAGCACCGCAGAAGCTCTGCGGGAGCGCTCAAGCTCTTACTGGCATTCTGTGTGTTTCAAAGAGAACTTTGCTCAACTCTGCATGGGGTGGGAGCGGAAAGGACCCGTGCCATTAGGGGATGAAACTGCTGGGTAGTGACCAAAAGACCACAATGCCCCTGGGCACACAGGCCAGAACCTGGGCACTTGGCCTTCCGTCGGAGGCACCAGGCACACCTGGCCCAGCTCTCAGCAAGGGTTATCTCTGAGCGACCTTGACCAGACAGGATTTAGAAAAGCCACTTTGGGGCTGTGACTTTCTTTCTAGGCTTTGCGCCTGGCAGACTGAGCTGAGAAACTGCTCAAAGCACATCCTTGTGAAGAGTAACAGGTGATCTCTCCTTGCTGCTGGCTGGGGAGATGGCGAGCGGCTGGGAATGAATGTCCGTTTGTCCTGATGTCTGCACTAAATGCAAGCAAACCCAGCACTACAATAAAACTCTCCTACCACAGACCCGCAGGGTTGTGTGTTTGCAAAAGCTGTGTCAGTGGGAGAAAGCAGAGGAGCCTGGGGATGAATCGCTCATGACAGACAGCAGAGCTCTCTCGGGCTAAGGATGCACCTGAGCAGAGCTGCTCTGGACGTGGAGGCTGACCCAGGCCGGGCTCCCTCCCGGGCCAGCACGCTGAGGCCTAGGGCGCATTAAAGGTTTCAAGTAAAGGTAAGGACCTTTGGGGCCACTGCCTGGGCCTCCCTGCCTCACTCCGAGTTCAGGCATGAGAAGGGATTCAGCCTTTCTATCTTGGTAGAGAAACACTCACAAAAGCACTTGCATTTTAACAAAAGTCCCTGTACTTCCTTGGTTTTGTGTTTGCCCTGGTCCTCTGGCCACTGCTTCTCAACGTTCAATGCGCAGGCCTAAGAATCTGCTTAACTCTTCCACGTTCAAGCGCTCTGGCTGCTAGGAAGACAGAAAGGAGGAGTGGGGCACAGCCGGTCACGCTCTGCAGTGGGGTCAGCTCCGTCCTGGACGCTCATTAGTGCTGGCTGCAGGGGTCAGAGCAGCTGCCAAGGAGGCTCCACCCCCAGCCTCCTTGGCCTGCAATTTGAAGCAGAGGAAAAAAAACCCAATCATGTACACATGTCATAAGTTAACACTGAGAAGTCTTAACAGATGATTTTGCACAAAGGAGTTTTGTTTTGGAAGGAGAAAATTCCAAAATAAAGCTTTTGCTGTGGCCCAGCCTTGCCTGGACGAGGCGATCTCTAAGGACAATGGTCCGTTTCCATCTCTAGCATGAGGACTTTGGGGTTCCTTGACTAGGAAGCTGAACTCTGGGGCCACTTTCTTTTGATTGCTTTGAGAAGCCCTCTTTGAAAAGAAACAGGAGCCATATCCATGACTGGAGGATTGAACACAGAGAGCCGGCTCCTCCTTGGTGCCCACAGCTCTGCCACTCGGGCCTCGGTGAGTTCCAGCATCCCGCTGCACTCAGGCTGTGACACTGGTCCGCAGGCACTTGATGTTGGGTGGATCACCATGAAGACCAACCGGGACGCTCTTCTGGGGCAGAACACTGAACAGGAAGGATGCTCTGGTGTTTACAGAGAGGCGGTCAGTGCTGAGCCCAGATACTGTTCTGAGTGCGGCCTCGGCGGGGAGATGAAGACAGAAGCTGAGGGCGGCGGAGACTCCGCAGGGCCAAGACAGAAGGCGGCGGATACAATGGCGGCTTCTACGTCTGATTTCTGGCAGGAGGTCCTGAAAATTCCTTCCTGATAATTTCATTAACTAGAGAAGGAGAGAGAGAGGGAAAAAAGAGGGGTGAGAAGGAACCCCAAACATGTATCAGCTTAGCTTTTTAGAATCTCAACCAAACTCTTGTGATTATACATTTGGCAATTGTTTAACAGAAACACATTCCTATGTTATGGGTTATTATTATTATTATTATTATTATTATTATTATTGGTGAGGACCAGAGTATTTGGTGCCATGGATCTGTCAATAGAAATTGCTCAAATGGTTTTTGTTTTTTTAATCCAGATCTTTGTGGCGGACCTAGATTTGGGCCACCAGGCATGTTTTAAACTCTCCCCTGCTGTCTTCCAGTTAACACATTAGGTCTTCTACCATCTACCAAACTGTCCCCAAGATCGCCACCTCGGGAAGGCACCTCACATGAGCACATCTCATGAAAATACAGGGACAGCAGCTGAGAACTCCAGTCAAAACTCGCCAGCAATTTAAGCACATTTTTATTTCTGTCAGCACACCCAGGGGTTTCCCCAGCCGGCGAAGGGCTGTGCTGGTGAGGCTGCAGAATGCGCCCTCCGAAGGATGCTGGGTCGTCTGCAGCCAGCAAGTAGGTGGGGTTTTAATGGGAATCACAGGTGTGATGCTGGCCCAGACATGGAGACAGACGCTGCCTTCTCTGAGGCCCTGGTATGGGCATCATCCCACAACGTGGCTTCCGCCTCCCTGGACCAAGCTGCCCTCACAACCACACAGGAGGCAGAGGCCATGTCACTGGCAGGAGGGGGAGAGGAGTAAGACCCCTATGGGGCCCCCTGTGACAGCAGGAACAGGGAAGACACACAGCTGTAAAGAGCTCGCTATGTGGGTTTGACTCTCAGCTCTCCCTAACTAGCTGTGTGACTTTACCTCTCTGCACCTCAGTTTTTCCATCTGTGAAGTGGGAACTAGAACAGTGCATTCCTTTTAGGGCTATTTTTGAGGATGCCAAGCAAGAAGGGCACCACAGTACCCACCCATGTGCCAATATTCAAGGCTGTCAATGGTGACCTCCCAAGGTAAACTGGGTCCTTTGCAGCAAAAGGCTCCCTTTTGTCCCAGACGGTTGGGTGTGACTCCCTGTCCCTCTGGTGCATGCTGAAGGCCAGGGTGAGAGCTCAGGTTCTTATTGGACAGGCAGGGTCAGAATCTCACTTGGCTGTGTCCTTGCTTGTGAGCCCTGCTGGCATGGTACAACAGTTTTGTGCCTCAGTTTCTCACCTGAAAAACTGTCTAAAATACCAGCTACCTCCTAGAGCTGTTGGCGCTTGGAGAGAGGATGCAAGTGAAGAAATGGCCACAGGGCCCAGTGAGGAGCAGGCTAGAACCAGGCTAGGACAGAGTGGCACCTGTCTGCTCATGGATGAGAACATAAGCGTTAGAATGGCCAGCGCTGCCCAGGTGAGGAAATGGATCACTAACAGGACTCGAGCTGAGTCCCCAAGCCCACCAGCGCTTCCTGGCCATGTTCTGTGCGCCTGGCCCAGGTGACACCCAGGGACCCTAACCAAGAATATGAACGCAGTGACCTGCCCATAAGCTGCCGACCGCTGACCCCTGCAGAGGCAATGAGAGCCCGCTGCCAGGGGAGGGGCTGCTTCGCGAAAAGCTTTCAAAGCCCGGATTCTGAAGGCTTCCTGTTTTCTCAGCCTAGGAAACCAGAGGAGTCAATCCTTAATGGAAAGTTTCCACAGCCTCTGCTTTCTAAAAATAGCTGGTAGGCAGAGCTGCAGGACCTCGGCCCTCGAAATGGGGTCTTTTCCCTTCTCAGAGCGGGCAGTGGGGCAGCTGTCCTGCCCTCCGGGTGAGACCTGCTGCTGGCTGAAAGCAGGTGGACGTGAGCCGTCTCATCTGGAAAACTAACAGATGCTTTGCGTTCAGACCTTGTTACCACTGGGGCAGGCCGTGTGTGGCTCTGAGCTTCGGAGCCCATCAAAACCGCTCTGGGTAGGAACCTTCTCACAGTGCAGCTCCACCTCGCTCCCCTGCCTGGGGAAGGGAAAATTCTAGAACTGAAATGCCAGCCGGGGGTGGTGACCGGGGGAACTGCGTCAGGCTGAAAACTCAGGATCTCAATTCTGAGAGGGGCTTCATCCTGACCTGGGCACCCCGACCTGACCTCCCACCTAATGAGGTCCCTCTGCAGGGGCTGCGGTGGAGGGCACGCTTCCGGCTCTTTGGATCAGTCCCACAGTGCCCACCGTGACGGTTCACCCTCACAGGAGGACAGTCCCCCAACTCAGCTTCACCGCCTCCTCTGCACCTTTCGTCCTCTCTTTCTGCACTGTCCCTCTAGTGTCCAGCAATTCTGCCCCCCAGAGGCCGAGTTGGGCCCTGGACTCTGACCCTGTCCCCTCCGTGGCCACATGGCCCGTCACCCTCCACCTGTGCAGCATCTTTCTGCCTGACTCCTGCTACCCCTGAGCTGCTGCCCTTCTGGTCCCCGAGGCAGGACTGTCCTTTCTCGCCTCTCTAAAGCTCCTCCCTACCATGGCAGCCAGGGCTCAGTCCCAGGCCCCCCTGGCCCCTTCCCACGGTTTCTATGCTCTGTGGGCTGGTGTGTCCTGCCGTATCCGGGGCCTGGGACGTGGAGACCATTCAGGGCCCACTGCTGGCGCTAAGCACCTGGACCCACTCCCCCACGTTTTATTCACTATCTGGCGCCAACTCCTGTGCCTGGCCACATGCATGCTCCATCCAGCTCTGCCCGGGCCCCAACCCAACTTCCCTTCCTGCTCCTGGGCCCTGCGGCCTCTTAACTACTCAGCTGTGCCACCATCACAGAGAAGCAGCTAGGCAAAGTGGCACAGATGCGCTCCCATGAAACTTTACCAAACCAAGCTCGGGGCTGGATTTGGCCCCAGATTGCCCAGCACCAATGCAAACAAAAGTACGGAGTTCTCTTTGTCTACTTTTGGAAGGTACCAATCTAGGGGGAGCCGTGGCCTCCGTGAAAATGTCAATCCGATGATTCTGGACTGATTTAGTGATCAATTTCTAAACTTTATGAGTCTGCCTGGGGAATTTCTGATCGGTTTGAGGCCCACACCGACCTGACTTTGCTCTCCTCTATCAGCACAGGGGGCTCAGGTTCGGGCCTGCACAACAGCTGCACAGGGCTGCACCTGGAAAGGCACACCGATCTACTGCGGTTTCTCCGACAGGCCTCCTGCCTGTAGCCCAAAGCCTTAGGATCCAAAGAGTCAGGAGCAAGCTGCAAGCCTGTGCCAGCCTGCCAGGAGCTGCCGCCTTCAGCACACACATCCTGCTGTTTACTTACGCTCTTACCATCCTGATTTGCAGGAAAGGAGGCCCCCAGCAGGAGGTACCACCCAAGGTGGGATTTGCACACATTTGCTTACATGGCCCCACCTCTGATAGAGAGTGCTGCAGCCACCACCCTCCTCACTCAAGGGGCACTGGGCCAGCTCCACCAGCCCTGTGGTCTAGGAGACTCTCAGTGGTCAGCTCTTCGGTATGCAGTGCGGTCCATCAGTGTCATCTTCCCCCCTCAGACTTCTAGACCTGGCCGCCTAGGAAGCTACGGCAAACGTAAACCAACACCACTAACCCTGGCTGCCTAAGTGCCCACTCTGTCAAGGTTGAGTGATTCCAGTGAGCACATGGAGTGATCTACAAAACAGCCCTGGCATCTACACAGCTGAGGCACAGAAAGGTAAAGTCACTTCCTCAGTTCCCACGTGGACTCCGTCCTCAAAGCTCCCCCAAAGCCTGCACCAATCACATGGTCAGGTGAGTGTTAGGGACCTGACTCTGAGCAGGCCCAGCGGCCCCAGCCCATCCGTGAAGGTCTAACCAGTGGAAGGCAGGCGAGGCCCCGCTGAGCTGCGGTGGGGGGGGGGGGGGAGTACAGCTCTGATTTTCAAGTTTAAAATCCACAAATCAAGCAGCAGATTTATCACTGTTCAATGCACGTGACAAGAAAGCCCCAGGGAGAAGCTGACATGGAGTGGAGGGAATGGAGCGTTCCCTAAGCATGGGCATTTTCTGCGGGGCTCCTAGGGCTCCTGTCACTGCTCCTTGACCCCATGCAGGCCCCCACCCCTATGGCCAGCCTTATGGAGCAGGGCAGAGCGGGACACTGCCGCACGGGTCCTGCAGGCCAGCCCTGGGGAAGAGAGCCCCTGGCAGCATGCAGAACCCCAGGCCTTCACCTCCCCCGCCCAGCCTCAGCGAGAGAACTTCGCTGGCAAGGACCAGCCTGCGACAGCAGGAAAGCAGGAAATGGTGTTTGTGGGGACGGCTGGAGGATGAGGCGAGGAGGCCTTTAGGTTACAAAAAACCCTCAAGGAAACACACAGCTGGAAAACAAAAGGAGAAGCAGAAGATAGCAATTACCTTTAACTTTGATTTCTTGGATCAAAGATCACAGTCATTCTGTTTCATAATATGTTTTGTATCCAGCTAAGGTGTGTGTCTATCAGCTCTGAAAAAGATTTGCAAAACCATTTTTGAGAAAAAGAAAATCACCTTCGATCCTCTATTGTGCCTCCACCTCAACTCATGGCAGCAACACCTAAGCGTGGGTTTCTCCTACTGGGAACCCAGGTGAGAACACAACCCTCAGGCGGCCGTGTAAGCCCAGGCTTGGTATCACTCTAACATCTGTGCCAGAATTAACGGACCCACCAGGGAAATCATCACTGAGCGGGGGGGGGACTCTGTGCAAAGAACTGAGGATCCCCGGGACGGGGGGGGCATCAGCAAGATTAGGGGCTTGTGCAGTCTTTTTCATGCTGAAGGCCTCCAACACAGAGTTTCAGATAATGGCCTGTGAAAGAGAAAAATTTTAAAACTGGCTTTTGCTAGAATAAAAAAGAATTCCAGGAGGGACCTACTGGACTGTGAGCTGCTTTCAGGCTTCTATATATACTGTGCTGGCTCCAGCTTCCTCCTGACTGATAACAGCACCTCTGTGGTCACATAAATCCCTGAGACTGCAACTTGTCTTCCTGTTTTGTTGATGACCACACGCA